ATATTCAAGCTTGATACAGCTCTGAATTTGGATTGTGATTAAATATTTGACACAGCAAAGGTTTCTGAGACAGAAAGAATGTGGCCAAAGAACTGAAAAATTTGAAATTGGACATTTACCTATTATGGTCCAATATCCAAAATCTGAATACATGGTTAGATTCAGCATATCAAAGAACCTTTTGATCAAATCAAACATGATTTATTTTGGACCCTTTGGAAATCAATGTGGACCAATTTGATAACAGAACCCAAAATCCAAAAACACGGTTAGATTCAGCATATAAAAAAAACATATATTCAATTTTTGTTGAAATCAAACAAAATTTAATTTTGAACCCCGATTTGGACCGACTTGAAAACTGGGCCCAATATCAAAAATTTAAATACATGTTTAGATTCAGCATATCAAAGAACCCCAAAAATTCAATTTAAAAAAGAATTTAAACTAAGTTTAATTTTGGATACTTTGGACTTTAATGTGGACGAATTTGAAAACCGGGCCCAAAAATTCAAAAAATCTAAATACACGGTTAGATTCAGCATATCCTTGAACCCAAAGAACTAAAATTTTGTTAAAATCAAACAAAGTTTAATTTTGGACCAATTTGAAAACGGGGCCCACAATTGAAAATCTAAAAACACGGTTAGATTCAGCATAATAAAGAATCCCAAGAATTGAAGACTTTGACTTAAACCCCATTGAAATTGGTCATTAAATAAGCAATTTATACAAAGTATTAGAAAAGTATTGTTTTTGGCCTCTTTTTCCAAAAAGGTTAGGGTCATAACCCTAAAAATAAATCCGAACCTTCCACTTTTGGTGTGAAACCTTGTGGTACAATTTCATAGAGATCCATTGACTTATACTCAAGTTATTGTCCGGAAACCAGAAAATCCTAGTTTGTGGCCCCTAATTCCTAAAAGGTTTGGGCCATAACCAACAAAATCAATCCCAACATCCCTTTTTAGGTATGGAACCTTGTGGTACAATTTCATATTGATCGATACACTTATGCACAAGTTATTGTCCTGAAACAGGTAAAATGCTTGTTTTTGGCCCCTTGTTGGCCCCTTATTCGTAAACAGTTAGGACAATAACCCCCAAAATCAATCCCAACCTTCCTTTTGTGGTATGGAACCTTGTGGTACAATTTCATAGAGATCCCGCATGATATACTTATCCTCAAGTTATTGTCTGGAAACCAAATGTCTTCGGCGCGGACGTCATAACATTATACGACCACAAAAATTTGGCGGTCGTATAAAAATGTCAAAAATTGGGGTAAGCAGTCAATACTGTTTTATAATCTTAATCATTACTGGAACACACCCGAGTGACTGAATTAAAGTACCTATGCCTTATTTTTAGCCTGGATATTTAGTATTCGTATTGTCATCTGATAAAGTCATGCTGATTTTAAGGTGCACAGTTTTTTCTGCTTTCAAAATCTTTCTGTTTGAACCCGTCCTGGTTTTCTTACTATAAACTAAATTTATTTTTTTTTACTAATTAACCAAAATTAATAGTGGCATTGAGGTGGAAGAAAACAGACTTGTTAAATAGTGTACTAGATATAAAACAACTCCTGGGAGAATTCCAGGTTCTCGTGATAGAGGATGTATTTACAGAAGGTAACAGGTAACTACAACCGGACACTACATTTCACATAAACTATTGGTATCAGTATCGGATTCGACCCGGAACTTGTTAATTATTTGTAATATTAATTATGTGTAAAACAAAAGGGCCTGGAATGGTGTAATTTTTAAACAACACCATTGTCCTATATTAGTTATATATAAAGTTGAATTCTTTGACTCGTCGTTTTTACGTCATGCCGGCTAACAAATTGGACCTCGTTATTTTAGTAATATTAGATAAAAACAAACAACTATGTCAACAAAGAAAAACAAAATTGCATATAGACACTCTACAAAAATATAGAATAAATGACCATAGCACAATAACACAATAGCGGGATGTATAAATACCGAGCCACGCCAAAAGGATATTACCAAAAATGTACTAAACAGTAAAGGTTAACAATATACAAATACAAATAAAAAGAACATCATAACACGTAATTTTAAGATGATAAACAACGTCAGTACCTAGAATCTATACTTCAAGACCATCATGTATTTTTAGTGAAGTTGATACGGAATATTTATCAACAAGGTCTTGGTATCTTCCGAAGCACAGTTCGTTACCATAGAAATGCCGACAATTTGTTGAAAAAGTCTACCTCCAAGTTAAAAAAATATGTTGTCAATAAGAAACTCCAGCATACTGATCACTCGGTGTATTATGTTTTACCTTTTTGTTCACTATTAACAAATATGCCGTATGGTATCCCAAAGCAATAAATTTATAGCGTACGTATGCTACCATTTTTATATTGAAAGCATTGTGGATTATTCCTTTGATGTCTACTATTGTTTTTAAATATAGATAAAATATCACCAAGGGTAAAATTACAACGATGCTTGTTTCGTTGATTGTGGTTATTGAGATTGCCATGAGACTGATGATTGCGTTGTCTTTTATCAAAAACAGTCATGATATCAGTAGAGGAAGTTTTCGATTTACGATATCAACCATGTTGACTTTGTAAATCCTGTCTTGCTGTCATTATTGCGATTTGAAGTTTCTATTTATCTATTATAGTTATTAAGATAATAGATAAAGAAAAAGAATGGTAAAATTCATCATTTAAGAGCAATAACTCCTATAAGAAGCCGTCTGACAGTTTTGACGTAGATAGACAATAGGTAGAGCTCAACATTCTGAACATTTCTGTCCCCCGTCAGATTTTTTCTATTTATAGTCGTTTTCAATATCAAAGACAAAACTTTCATTTTACCCCTATGTTTTATATTTAGCCATGTCGGCTATCTTGGTTTACAGGCGGGGTCACCGGACACATTTTAAAAACTATATATAGTTTCAGAGAAGATTTTTGTAAAAGTTAACAATGACGACGACGGACGCCAAGTGATGAGAAAAATTCACGGAGTTAAACTAGAGGCTCACCCAAATCTATGTGGATCTTCACCAATGATCCTCTCCAACATTGTGGACTAGAATAGAATTCATGACAAAAATCTCTTTTTTGTTGATCTTGTAATTTTGATATTTTTTTCTGTTTACAGTGTCTATCTTTTATAGTTTTCATAAATATTTGACACAGCATAGATTTCTGACACAGAATGAATGTGGTCTAAGAACTTAAAATTTGAAATTGGACATTTACCTATTATGGTCCAATATCAAAAATCTAAATACATGGTTAGATTCAGCATATCAAAGAACCATTAAAATTCAATTTTTGATGAAATCAAAAGAAGTTTAATTTTGGACCCTTTGGACCTCAATGTGGACCAATTTGATAACGGGGCTGAAATCCAAATACACGGTTAGATTAAGCATAAAAAAAAAACCATATATTCAATTTTTGTTAAAATCAAACAAAGTTTTATTTTGGATCCCGATTTGGACCAACTTGAAAACTTGGTCCAAAATCAAAAATCTAAATACATGTTTAGATTCAGCAGATCAAAGAACCACAAGAATTCAATTTTTGTGAAAATAAAACTAATTTTAGTTTAATTTTGGACCTTAATTTGGACCATTTTGAAAACGGGGCTCAAATTTAACTACAGGCTCCAAGGAGCCTGTGTCGCTCACCTGATATTTTTGTTTAGAATTGATGCATGAAATAATGCAACCATTATACTTCTGCTTTAGTTTCAGAGATATAAGGAAAAAACCCCTATGTTCTATTTTTAGCCATGTCAGCCATGTTGGTTGACAGGCAGGGTCATAGGACACATTTCTTAAACTCGATACCCTAATGATGATTGTGGCCTTTGTCTCAGTAGTTTCAGAGAAGATTATTGTAAAAGATAACAAAAATTTACGAAAAATTGTTAAAAATAGACTTTAATAATCATTCTCTGTAACCACTTAAAAACTTTTTCGGCACACATAGTCACCGATCTTTCTGAAAATTGGCTGATATGTATATCCTATTAGCCTAATCAGAAAAATAATGCCAACCGATATATATATTGGTTGGTTACCATGGTAACAGCGGAGAAAGTTGGGAATTTTGAGAAAAATACAATATTTGGTGTAGTGTTGTGAAATTATGCGGCTACATCTATTAAAAAGAAACACAAAAACAATTAATTTCAGCCTTGTTTTTATCAAAAATCAAAAAAAGTTATGGGGAATCTACTTAGAAACATCTGAAATTAATTTCTAAAAAAAGGTCATTGTGCAATATTCCTCACAATACGAATTATCTCCCTTTGACGGGTTACACTAATGACTGGACCAAAACGAAAATGCTAATAACTTTTTTATTTCTTAAAAATTTTGTCATATTTGAATTGCTATAAATTTAGTCCATTTAATACATAAATATAAGAAAAAATATAGAAAACTTTTAAATCTTCATAAAACGTGACCTGAACAACGCTGACAATGACAGGACCAAATGAAAATGCCCATTACTTTTTTATTTCTTAAAGGATTTATGTTAAATTTGAAATATAATAAAATTTGATCATTTAATATATACATGTAACTATATGAAAAAATATAGAAAAAAATAATAAAAAATTCCGAAAAATTCCGAAAACGTGACCCTTCTAACGTTGACAATGACCTGACCGACAACAGCAATGACCTAACCGATGACAATTTCTGTGTTATTTTATATCATTAAAAACAGGGGGGAAATATATGTTTTGGGGAAAAAAAAACTTGACCTGACAAACGTTGACTGTGTCCTGATCGTTGTACTACCTAATACCTATTTATATCTTATAGGATTTGATTAAAATTTATATAAAAATAAAATGCTCCGCAGGGCGCAGCTTGATACGACCGCAGAGGTCGAACCCTGAACAGTTGGGGCAAGTATGGACACAACATTCAAGCTTGTTACAGCTCTGAATTTGGATTGTGATTAAATATTTGACACAGCATAGGTTTCTGACACAGAATGAATGTGGTCTAAGAACTTAAAAATTTTAAATTGGACATTCAACTATTATGGTCCAATATCCAAAATCTAAATACATGGTTAGATTCAGCATATCAAAGAACCCCAAGAATTCAATTTTTGATGAAATCAAACAAAGTTTAATTTTGGACCCTTTTGACCTCAATGTGGACAAAGTTGATAATGGGGCCCAAAAATCAAAACTCTAAATACATGGTTAGATTCAGCATATCAAAGAACCCCATATATTCAATTTTTGTTGAAATCAAACAAAGTTTAATTTTGGACCCCGATTTGGACCAACTTGAAAACTGGGCCCATAATCAAAAATCTAAATACATGTTTAGATTCAGCATATCAAAGAATCCTAAGAATTCAATTTTTGTTAAAATCAAACTAAGTTTAATTTTGGACCCTTTGGACCTTAATGTAGACCAATTTGAAAACAGAACCAAAAATTAAGAATCTAAATACACGGTTAGATTCGGCATATCAAAGAACCCCAATAATTCAATTTTTGATGAAATCAAACAAAGTTTAATTTTGGACCCTTTGGACCTCAATGTGGACCAATTTAAAAACGGGGCCCAAAATCCAAAAACTTAATACACGGTTAGAATCAGCATATTAAAGAACCCCAAGAATTCAAGAATAAAACCCCATTGAAATTGGTCAAGAAATAAGCAATTTATACGAAGTATCTTCTTTTGTACAATACTGTGCAATGGAATATTTCTTGCTATTGCGCAATACTGTACAATTGACAATTTCTTGCTATTGCGCAATATTGTGCTATTGGATATTTCTTGCTATTGCACAATACTGTGCAATAGAAGATTTCTTGCTATTGTGCAATACTGTGCAATTGAAGATTTCTTGCTATTGTGCAATACTGTGCAATTGAAAATTTCTTGCTATTGCACAATACTTATTTTATAATAATTTACACATCCTGTTTGGTGTGTATCTCCTACCATATCGTTATTATTTGCTTTTAAATATAAAACAGAAATAACCAACTTAAAATGGAAAATTTTAAAAGAAAAAAAAAAGGAAAAAAAAAAAATCCCCCCCCAAATTTTTTGAACCCCCTTATGATTCATCACCCCCAAACTCAATCCCAGCCTTCCCTTTGTTGTATGGTACCTTGCAGTACAATTTCAGAGAGATCCATACACTTGAACACAAGTTATTGTCTGGAAACTAGAAAAATGCTTATTTTTGGCCCCTTTTTGGCCCCTTATTCCTAAACGTTTTGGGCAATTACCCCCAAACTCAATTCCAGCTTTCCCTTTGTGATATGGAACCTTGTAGTACAATTTCAGAAAGATCCATACACTTACACACAAGTTAAGGTCATGAAACTAAAAAAATGCTTGTTTTTTGCCCCTTTTTTGGCCCCTAATTCCTAATATTTTGAGGCAATTACCCCCAAAATTAATCCCAGTATTCCCTGTGTGATATGGAACCTTGTGGTACAATGTCAGAGAGATCCATACACTAACACACAAGTTATGTCTGGAAGTTACAAAAATGCTTATTTTTGGCCCCTTTTTGGCCCCTAATTCCTTAACTGTTGGTACCATAACCCCCAAAATCAATCCCAACCTTCCTTTTGTGGTATTGAACCTTATGGTAAAATTTCATTGAGATCCATTCACTTAAACTAAAGTTAGAGTGCGAAAACCAATGTGTCTTCGGACGACGCCGGACGACGCCAGACAGACGCCAACGTCATACCAATATACGACCGCAAAATTTTTTTGCGGTCGTATAAAAACTATTAAGATTGAATGGTAAAGTCTTTATCAAATAATAAAAAAAAACTGGGAAAAACAGTTTAGGGTACTGTGACGGACACCAGGTTATTTAAACTTTTTATGGTATTGAGTAGTATATTGTATTTTACTGTGTTGTGAATTATGTTGTATATTACCGGTTATAATTTGACACGTTTGATCACAAATATAAAGTAACACACACAAGGTGTGAAGTAGGCAAAAAATACATGTAAGTTGATAAATCCAATATAATTGTTTTTTATATTTTCATAACTGTAAATAATTATTTCCACGTACAACTTAAGGCATGCCCGAGCCTTGTGTAGGATATCTTGGTAGTTTTAAATATTTTCATAAAAAAATAAACATTTCACGGACTACTTGAGGTATGCCTGAGCCCCTGCATGCACGATATCTTGGTAGTTTAAAATATTTTAAGAAAATATAAGTAAACATATTCAACGACTTAACTTGAGGTATGCCAAATGTTCTCGAAAGTCAATACATTTATCGTATGCTTATATGTTTGAAAAGCATTTTATATTTTCTTATTTGATAAAAATTATGGTTCAATCTAAGTGTTTCTATAAATTTGATGCAAAGCCTATTACATATAAATAGGTATAAAGTCATTTTTCCTAGTCATGATAACGGTCAGAATATAGGACAGAAAGTCACAGACAAAAAATCACATATATTATATGTTATAAACATTGAGTCCTGTTTCAAAGTAAAAGAAAGACAACATACTAATTTTGAGAAACATCTTTCTGTAATGGGCCTTCAGCATGTTCAGTGAAAATCAAATTATATGTACATGTATATAATTCTTTTAAAGTTACCCTTTCACGGTAAAGAGTTATCATAATTTATGGTCAATATTTTTTAATTTGCTGCTAAAAATCCATAAACTTAAGATAATTGTTATTTTCTCAAATTTCAATAATCCAATGCCTAATACTAATGTTAAGATAGTGCTACCATAGGCGGATTCAGGGGCCCTGAGGGCTCGTCCCCTCCTTATTTATTGGAAATATACACCGTTAGATTCAGCATATTAAAGAACCCCAAGAATTCAATACTTTAAATTAAACCCCATTGGAATTGGTCAAGAAATAAGCAATTATACAAAGTATTAGAAAAGTATTGTTTTTGGCCCCTTTTTCCTAAACGGTTAAGGCCATAACCCCCAAAATCAATTCGAACCTTCCTCTTTTGGTATGGAACCTTGGGTACAATTTTATAGTGATCCATAGACTTATGCTCATGTTATTGTCCGGAAACCAGAACATCCTTGTTTTTAGCCCCTAATTCGTAAACGGTTTAGGCCATCACCCCCAAAATCAATCCCAATCTTCCTTTTGAGGTATGGAACCATGTGGTACAACTTCATAGAGATCCATACACTTATACACAAGTTATTGTCCTGAAACAAGAACTAGGGGCTCTTAAGATATAAAAGGCAAAAATGACCCCCCCCCCCAAAAAAAAAAAATGGTAAAAATTATCATTAAAGGGCTATAACTCAAATAAGGAGTCAACTAACAATTTCAGTCATGTTGAACTATTTGTAAATCTTGTCTTGCTGATCATTTTTTCTTATTTTAATTTTCTACATATCTTATTTTAGTTTTCAAGATATGAGGCAAAAACTAAAAAAAAATGTGTAGAAATCGTCATTAAAGGGCAATAACTTCTTTACAGTGTCGACTGACGATTTCTGCCATAGGCTTCTTTGTAGATCTTGTCTTGATGATCTTTTTTGCCAATTTAAATTTTTATCTACCTATTTCAGTTTGTAAGATATTCAGCAAAAACGAAAAAAAGAGGTAAAATCGCCATTAAAGGACAATAACTCCAATTAGGAGTTGTCAGACGATTTCGTCTTATTAAGTCATTTGTAGATCTTGTCTTGCTGATCAATTTCACTGTTTGAAGTGTTCATTTATCTATTATAGTTTTCAAGATAATAGGCAAAACCATTAAAACTGGGTAAAAATGGTCTTTAAAGAGCAATTACGCCAATAAGGAGTCGCCGAAAGATTTCGACAATGTGATTCATTTGTACATCTTGTCTTGCTGATCACTTTTGCTAATATAAGTTTACATCTATCTATTATTGTTTTTCAGATATAAGACAAAAACACAAAACTAGAGGCTCTCAAGAGCCTGTGTCGCTCACCTGTATTTACTGATGCTTTGGAAATCATGTAAAATAAGGTTAAAATCATAATTAATAGTATTAGATATTAGATATTATAATGATATCTAAGATAATAACAAAAAACTGCAAAATTTTTGTAAAATTACTAACTCAGGGGCAGCAACCCAACAACGGGACGTCGGATTTGTCTGAAAATTTCAGGGCAAATAAATCTAAATCTGATGAACATTTTTGCCACCTGTCAGATTTGCTCTAAATGCTTTAGTTTCAGAGATATAAACCAAAAACTGCATTTTACCCCTATGTTCTATTTTTAGCTATGGCGGCCATCTTGGTTGGTTGGCGGGGTTATCGGACAAACTTTTTAAACTAGATACCCTAATAATGATTATGGCCAAGTATGGTCAAATTTGTATCAGTAGTTTCAGAGAAGAAGATTTTTGTAAAAGATTACAAAAATTTACGAAAAATTGTAAAAAATTGATTATTAAGGGCAATAACTCCTAAAGGGGTCGACTGACAATTTTGGTCATGACAACTTATTTGTAGATCTTACTTTGCTGAACATTATTGCTGTTTACAGTTTATCTCTATCTATAATAATATTCAAGATAATAACCAAAAACTGCAAAATTTCCTTAAAATTACCAATTCAGGGGCAGCAACCCAACAACAGGTTGTCAGATTTGTCTGAAAATTTCAGGGCAGATAGATCTTGACCTGATAATCAGTTTTACCCTATGTCAGATTTCCTCTAAATGCTTTGGTTTCAGAGATATAAGCCAAAATCTACATTTTACCCCTATGTTCTATTTTTAGCCATGGCGGCCATCTTGGTTGGTTGGCAGGATCATCGGACACATTTTTCAAACTAGATACCCTAATGATGATTGTGGCCAAGTTTGGTTAAATTTGGCCCAGTGGTTTCAGAGGAGAATATTTTTGTAAAAAGCTAACGACGACGGACGACGACGACGACGACGACGACGGACGACGGACGACGGACGCCAAGTGATGAGAAAAGCTCACTTGACCCTTCGGGTCAGGTGAGCTAAAAATGGTAAAAATCGTCATTTAAGGGCAATAACTCTAATAAGGAATCATCAGAGGATTTCAGCCATGTTATCTTATTTGTAGATCTTGTCTTGCAGATCCTTTTTGCTTATTTCAGTTTCATCTATCTATTATTGTTTTCAAGATATTAGACAAAAAAGCAAAACATTAGTAAAAGGAGTAGGCCCAGTAAGACCCCTTTTTGGCCCCAAAATATAGCAATTTTACAAAATTGTTAAAATGTAAATTTTTAGCTATTTATTTGAAAGACGAATACTTCTGTTACATAAATATGGGCTGTTTTTGACAATACAATGGGCATGTATCGGGTACTAGCATTATTAAGTCATGCTAAATTACTGAAATCTTCGAAATTTTAGCATTTTGGTTAATTTTCAGACGGTTTCCGTCTGAAATGGAAGTGGCCGCATTTGTGTTCATTCTTAATATTTAAATGTAAGTTGTATTAGATGATAATACATAACATATATAAAGGTTGAGAATGAACACGGATGCGGCCACTTTCATTTTTGACAAAAACCATCTGAAAAGTGACATATTATGGCATATTTGATTGATTTTTCATATTTAAGCTTGAATTTGTGTGTCCTTAATGACTAAATCAGTTCAAATCTTTCACATAAACTAATTGAATCGACTGAAGTAGACACTTAAGTGTTTAAAAAGTGTCTTAAATCTTTCTTCAAATGAACCTGAATTTTGAGGCCAAAATCGGCCCTTACCGGACCTAATCCTTTATCATTTAAGGTCAATAACTCCTATAAGAAGTAGTCTGACAGTTTTTATGGAAACAGACAATAAATATATTTCATCATTCTTGCCCCCGACATATTTTCTTCATTTATATCGGTTTTTAAGATAATAGACAAAACTTTCATTTTACCCCTATGTTCTATTTTTTGCCATGTCGGCCATGTTGGTTGACAGGTGGGTCATTTTTTAGGTACTCCAATGATGCTTGTGTCTAAGTTTGATTAGAATTGGCCCTGTAGTTTCAGAGAAGATTTTTGTAAAAGTTAACAGACGACGACGAAGACGGACGTCGGACGCCAAGTGTTGATAAAGCTCACTTGGCCCTTTTGGGCCAGGTGAGCTAAAAGTGCTTGTTTTTGGCCCCTTATTCCTAAACAGTTAGGACAACACTCAAAATCAATCCCAACCTTCCTTTAGTTGGATAGAACCTTGTGGTACAATTTCATGGATATCCATACACTTATATTCAAGTTATTGTCTGGAAACCAAATGTCTTCGGACGACGACGACGACAACGTCATACCATTATAAGGCTGCAAAATCCGTATAAAAATGTGCATTTTATCCTCTGTTCTATTTTTAGTCATGTTGGTTGACAAGCGGGGTCATTTGACACCATTTTTAAACTAGATACCCAAATGATGATTGTGTTCAAGTTTGGTTAAATTTGGCCCAGTAGTTTCAGAAGAGATGATTTTTTTTAAAAGTGAATGGACAACGACGGACGACGTACACCAAGTGATGAGAAAAGCTTAAAAAGGAATCTCAAAATCCATAATTGTTTTAATTTTTTGAAACAGAATTCAACTAACAATCAGCAATGTTGACCTATTTGTGGATCCTGTCTTGCTGACCATTTTTGCTATTTATAAAGTTTATATCTATCCATTATAGTTTTCAAGATAAAAGGCAGAATTGGTAGAAATCATCATTAAAGGGCAAACACTGCGATAAAGAAGTCAACTGACTTTTTCATCCATTAGAATTATCTGTAGATCTTGTATAGCTAATTAAAGTTTATATCTTTTTTACTTTTTAAAGATACATTGTAATAGACAAAAACGCAAAACAAAAATGGTAAAAATCGTCATTAAAGGGCAATTACTGCAATAAGGAATCAACTGATGATTTGGAACATGCTGACTTATTCGAAGACCTTGTATTGCTAATTATTTTTGATATTTAAAGTTTCTATCTATGTTCTCTTTTTCTTGATGCGTTTCCCTCAGTTTTAGTTTGTTTCTTGCTATAATATACAAAATAGAAAAATTTAATGTAAATTCTTTTATAAAATTTAATTATCTGAATTATTTATAAAGCTAAGTTTAAGAATTTTTAATTAAACATAATTTTGGTTGAAAAATGAAGAAGTGACTTGTTGTTAGTCAATGAACAACTCATATAAAGATTTGCAGCAGGAACATAACTTCAAGTGGAGAAGTTTAATGGCAGAAGATTGTACCTGAAAATGCTGAAAAATCAAATGTCTATCTATGGTGATAATCAATCCAATTAATTCAAGTTTCAAATCTGTAACTTTGAGGAACAAAACCTTAGAAAGGATCATGACAAAATCTACATGTATAATTCAAAACAGTTGCTTGCATTTAACTACATCCAAAACTCATTTGAAGACAAGCGTCTAATTTCGAAATTTTTTCAGCAGGTAAACAATTTCTGACAGCTTGATAATCCCTAGGGTACTTCAAAGACACATCTTTCACGAAATGAACTAATGTTGACTGTACATCTGCAAAATAAATAAAAAAAAGTACAATCATTTAGGCGGTTTGCGCATAAAATTTGTTTGTTCTTAATAACTCCTTTTAAACATTTTAAAGTTTGCTGACTGTTGATAGAATCTATAATTCTGGACTAAAATCTCTTGTGGATCGTGTAATGCTGATCATGTTTTCTGTTTACAGGCTCTCTCTATCTCCTAACGTTTTTGCACAAAACACAAAAATGAGTAGAAATCATCATTCATACAATTTGTTTTCGACAATCAAGTCTTTGTTCATTTTGTTCATTGATAAATATTTTAGCAAGAAGTTGGAAATGAGGGCAGAGACTTTCTCAAGGCAGGGTTTTAATGTCAATTCAAAATATTTTTTAAGGAGGTAACTGTTTAGCTGGATGTTTACTCAGGTGTTATATACTTTTAAATATTACATAACATACAATTTAATAAATGGGGAATGTGTCCATGGGACACAGATGATGCCCCCGCTTGCATATAATGTTATAAAGGGACATAACTCTAGAACGGTAAAAGTGATGCTACCCAAATTTGTACTTGATCTGAGTTTTGTGATAATAAGCATTGTGCATAAGTTTCATAACATTTGGTTGAGGCAAACTTAAGTTAGAGAACGGAAACCAATTTTTCCATTTGTAAAGGGGCATAACTCTAGAATGGTAAAAGAGACGCCTCCAGAATTCAAACTCGATCTGTGTTTTCTGCTAATAAGCATGTGCATAAGTTTCATAACATTTGGTTGAGGCAAACTAAAGTTAAAGAACGGAGACGAAAATTCAGCAATTTTTCCATTTGTAAAGGGGAATAACTCTAGAACTGTGAAAGTGACGCCACCAAAATTCAAACTTGATCTGTGTTTTGTGGTAATAAGCATTGAATATAAGATTCTTAACATTTGGTTGAGGCAAACTAAAGTTAGAGAACGGAAACTAAAAATTCAGCAATTTTTCTATTTGTAAAGGGCATAACTCTAGAACGGTAAAAGTGACGCCCCCAAAATTCAAACCTGATCTGTGTTATGTGGTAATAAGCATTGTGTATAAGTTTCATAACATTTGGTTGAGGCAAACTTAAGTTAGAGAATGGAAACCAATTTTGGGACGTACGGACGGACAGACGGACAAGGGTAAAACTTAATGCCCCCTCCGCTACGGCGGGGGCATAAAAATGGTATAAACAGCAGACAATCAAATATGAATACAACATTACAACATACTATAAACGGACCAATAATATATGTTTACACTAGTCAAATATGGAACAAATGAAGTTAAACGAACTCAGGTCCATTTCTGAGGACTTTGTATAAATAAATCCTTAATCTCAGATATTAAACAAAACCTTATCTTGACATGTTTGCAAAAAAAGAATACAGGCTGTCACAAAGAATTCTACTAGTTCTTGGAAATTTCACTAAAATCTAAATGACAAAAATAATTTGAATATCTTGAACTTGAACATAAAAATAAATATGAATTCATCTAAGGGAGAAAGTTATCATAATAATATTGCTAGTGAATTCACAGGTGAAACTTACATAAGCTACACAACGGGTGCCACATGTGGAGCAGGAAATGCTTACCCTCCCAGACCACCTGAGATATCGAGTGAATAATCACAAAGGCCTGTTCAACGAGATATTGATGAAGCAGGGCCAAGTGTAAACAAAAGAATGACGAAAGATCAACCGGAAATAAATAAACGGTAGGTCTTTTCACCACCGAACACATTAAAATACCATCTACCAGGTCTAAATATATCAATTTCATCTTTATTTATATATTTGACTAACCTTCTGAACGAGGATGAATATTTGTATACATATTTCTACAAATTAATAAGAAATGATAACCAGAGAATCAAAAAGAACAGTTTTCTGGTATTACATTTATTGATTGATTGCTGGTTGCTTAACGTCCAGTGGCAAATTTTGTCATGCATGTTCAGGACGAGAACAAATTAACAATGAATACAATAGGTAGGTCCTGTAATAGAGACCGTCTGGAATGAAGGTCAGGAAAATTTAGACTGCCACTGGAAAATGAGGGTATTTTGGATAGGGACAAAAATTTTGCCTTGCTACAGGCCACATACGGACACAACAAAGAGTTGTTACAAGGGATCTTAACGTGCATAGAGCGTGGCACTCTCCTTACATGAGGCATCGGATTTAACGTCCCCATTCTGACCGGACGTGGAAGCGTACTTGTACATCCCGCACAGCCAAACGCACGCCCCACTCTGGAAAGGGTTTTACTGCCGGTCGGAAGAAGACCTGTAGTGACCATATTTTTATTCCCCAGTCATCATTGGGGTTTTGGTCTTACAAGGGCTGTTGTCAGAACAGTACACTTTCAGTCAAACAACATTTTGTTCATATAATTATTATGATAATCTCACATTGAATAAATCATTTTCACTTACTTGAACAATTTATTTCTTATAATTGAAAAGTAATGACATTTTAAAAGATACTATACAATTTAGTTCAGTAAAAAAATATTTTGCTGAATCCCAAAACGTTTTTTAAATTTTTTTGTTTTCAGCTATAATGCACATTAAAATATAGAAAAATGTTGATAATAGGATTACATTTTACGTAATTTAATAAAGTTCATCGTTTTATTGTAAAATACTATTGTTTTCCTTAAGGGTAAGTGGTCTTTTTATGGTGTTCGGCGGTGTGCGGTGGAGTTCGGTGATGAAAACACCGACCCTAAACTTACAATGCAAACAGGAGCCTGTAATTCAGTGGTTGTCGTTTGTTGCTGTATATCATATTTGTTTTTGTTCATTATTTTATACATAAATCAGGCCGTTAGTTTTCTCTTTTGAATTGTTTTTATTTTTATATTATGGGTGAACATATCAAACATGGCCGATGTAAACAAACGTCAGATAGACTCTCACTAACTTAAGCAGAAAACTTAACATTGAAAATTGCTAATTAATTCAAATTCACTGGACCATGACCTAGGGGGCAGGGCCTCAACATAATCGTTAAACTGATATGCACAGATAGTAATGCAACTTCATACAAAATATCATTGATCTATCACAAGTAGAACCTGTCAAACTAACTTAAGCAGAAAACTTAACATTGAAAATTGCTAATTAATTCAAAGTCACTGGACCATGACCTAGGGGGCAGGGCCTGGAAATAGTCATCAAACTGAGATGTACTGATAGTAATGCAACTTAGTTCCTATCAAACTAACTTAAGCAGAAAACTTAACAATTGTTGACGCCTTCGCCGCAGCCGTCACCGGTAAAGCAATCCGTATGGTCTCGCTTTCCGCAACTTTCGGCGACTTTCGTAGCCGGCGAGACAAAAACCTGTATGCATTTATATTGGACATGGTGCTGTTTTTAGTAATTGACTGAGCTTTACCACTTGTGCATTTTTTGAAGAGCAGAAGACTGTAAAAATAAAGATGCAAAAAGTTTTGAGTTATAAAATGTTTGTAAAGAAGTGAATTTCAAGAAAATTGAACTGTGTGAAAATAGAGACTTTTTACTTACTGAAGTCGCATCACCTTTTTGGGGTTTAGCATTTTGTGAAATATTTCATCTCACTTCGTATCCCAAAATTTTAACCACATCTGCGAAAATGTCTAAAATTAGAAGCAAGCCATCATACATATCCAAGTTTACGATATGGACAGAGGAATGGAAAAAAAGGCTACCATTGTCGCCTACCTGAGATGAATTGCGCATCCGGACCCAAATGTGGTGAAGAACATGACTAAAGATAAGTTCAAAATAGTAACACATGGCATTTACACTGCAAACAGAAAGAGGAAGCAACTGATCATCCAGAGGTTCCTTATCAATATAAAAGAGTCACAATCATGTCACTGAATATGCCTTTGGTGATAATTTAGCTACAAATAGGAGGATCTTGAAAAAGAAGAGAGGAGGATTAGTAAACTTAGCTTCAGTGAGCCTTTTCTAGATGGACGCAAAGTGGAGACACATCCACGGCCTCCATGGCAAAAACCATCACACCACTCTAGCAAAAAATGCTAGGATTTCTGGACAGATACAGGGCAATAATAACAAAAAAAAAAGAAGAGTGGGTTTAACATCAAAGACAAACGTTAAGCGTAAGTGATAATGTAACAGTGATAATTGCTACTGATTTTTATAGTTTGTTTTTATGTTGTACTGTTAGACCACTGTTGCAGGTTAGGAGGAGGGTTGAGCGCTCAAAAAATTGTTTAACCCCGCCAAATTCATTATGTGCCTGTCCCAAGTCTGTGCCTGTAGCTCAGTGATTGTCGTTGGTTCGTGTCTGTCATATTTGTTTTTTCGTAATTTTTTTTGTTATAAACTAGGCCGTTAGTTGTCATGTTGGGGCCTTTTATAGCCGGCTATACGATATGGGTTTTTCTCATTGTTAAAGGATGTATGGTTGCAAATAATTGCTTACATCCACTTCGTTTGAACTCTGGTGGATAGATGTCTCATTGGCAATCATACCATATCTCCTTATTTCTATATAAACAAAGTTTAACATTTCACAGGAGGGGAATTATAATATCTTGTAAATAAAGAGCTGCGCCATGAGCACATGATACGCCCGTCGCTTTTTCACCGAATAAAGTTCCATTACTCCTCAATGTCATATCATAAATTTATGAAAAAACTAAAGGGAGCTTATTTCAACAGATAAAAACCAGCCACCAAAGTTTCATGAAAACTGCTCAAAGCATTTTTGAGTTATTGTACGAAAACTGGAAAATCCCCCCTTTTTATGAATAAAATCCCATAACTCGGAAACTTAGCACCCTAAAAAATTGATAAAAATCGAAAGGGAGCTTACGTCAATAGATATAAACAATTCACCAAAGTTTCATGAAAATTGGTTAAAGCTTTTTTGAGTTATTGTCCGACATGTTGAAGACAGACGGACAGACGGACAACGGTAAACCATAATACGTCCCGTAAACAGGCGTATAAAAACTGATACTTTTATATTAAATGCAGTG